CGATACATAAGCCGACGAAATAATTTTCGACGAAATGAACTTTCGACGAAATGATTGTCGATGAAGTGATACAATTTTCGACGAAATAATTTTCGACGAAATGAACTTTTCGACGAAATGAACTTTCGACGAAATGAACTTTCGACGAAACAAACTTTCGACGAAATGGGTGTCGACGAAATGATTGTCGAAGAAATGATTTTCGACGAAGTAAACGGGACCGCGGTAACTCTACATAGTAGAGATTATGGGGGTTATATACCCGCCTTATTATATATTTAGTCGAAGTTTTACTACCCATTTCTATGGTATGTTCCCGGATATATTTCTGGTGTCAAGGGCTAAGGCCCATTGCTACGCAATAAAATTCCGGCAATCGAAATCGGCATACACATTTGATAGCATTAATCGATAGCATAACCAGATATTGTGTATATAGCATAACCAGATAGCATGTATATAGTATATGCAATAGCAATTAGATAGCGTTAATTGATAGCAATTACGAAACGCACATTTGATAGCATTCCCCGATAACATTTATGATGTATGTATCGATAGCAATTGCGCAAACATGTTTGATAGCATAGCCTTCAGAAATCAGTCACGGTTATCAAATTGGTATACAAATAATGCTATCGAATTTGGCGTGTGTCGTAAAAAGCAAAATGCACGTCACTCGAGCGTGACCTAAAATGCAAAACGCACGCCATACTGACGCATGACTCAGCGGTTCTCAATCGGCGTGACTTGAGTTTTGTGATTGACCCATCACTCGAATGACTTGAGTTTTGTGATTGAGACTATTATAGTCTAATCTAAGCCGTTAGGAGTTTATATAAATTCCTAACGGCTAAAACTATAATCTCCATCAACAGAATTTTAATATTGACTTTAATTTCTCCTTTAGTAAGTTAATTAAAGGATATATGACAGAAAAGGTAACATGTAACTTTCCACTGAATTTTCTAGTGAGTTTTTCAAATCCACTAAAGATTTGCACAAGAAAATCCATTGCTATCATTTAACATGATTCGTTAAAGTCTTTCCCCATCTTTTTTATTATCTTTATGAAATCAGAGTAGTGAAGAAGTTAATTAATCTTTGATCTTAAAACAAATGCCTAATGTTTGTATTGATTTCCGATGCTTTATTTACAACTAATTGTAATGTGTGAGCAAAACATGGTATTTTTATAATATTTAGATCATAATTAAGAAGTCTAGCAGCATTGATCATATTAGCACTATTGTCAGTTGTTAGAGTAAATACTTGGTTTCCAAGATTCCATTTAATATAACCTCTTGTAATTTATTACTAATTGTCTCTTCTGTGTGAGGATAAGGAACATGTTGAAGAGCTAGAAAGATTTCATCAAACTCAAAATCTTCAGATAAAAGGCTACAAATGACTAAATGCATCCCTAGAAGTCCATAAGTCACATGTTAAAGAAACATATTCACATCAGTAGAATTGATTAATTTAGTGATTGATATTTGATATACAAATTCAATTAGTTGGTAAACTTTTGTCACATAACTCATTCAGTTGTTCTAGAGGAACAGGTACTTTTACTTGACATAATCTCTTTCTTTGATATAAAATAATCCAAATATAGTATTCTCTAGGTTGTCAAAATTTTGTATGGAATTCCAATGTAGATCTTCAATAGATATTGACCAATGAAATTTATTTGAGCAACATTGTAATTGAATTAATTGAATTTCATTGGAACATTTCAATTCCTGAGAATTTCACATGTGGATTGCAAATTCATTTTCACGCACAACAATGAATTAAAGTATTACAAATATTATAATATTATCTAAAGTATCATATACAAGTATTGCGAATACTCGAAAGCATTACGAATGAGTATTGCAATTATTACAATCTTCAAAAGTATTGCGAATATTCAAAAGTATTACAAGTATTACAAGTATTACGGATATTATTGTTACAGATATTCGAATATATAAAAATTATTTGAGACACTAGATTTGAACCAGCCATTGTTTACTATCTTATCTTTCCTTTGATTTATTTTTTGACATGTTGACTGTCACAAAAAAAAAGATCATTAAGATTTGTTTTTTGTGTGTGATTAATCGTTATTAATCGTATTAATGTGGCAGGTCTATGTTGTTGATAACAGCGATGAGTATTCCCTGTGTAATTATGGAATAAATGTAAGCTTTGTTTTATTTAATAATTTGTAAAGAATTTAAGTAAATAAACTCTTTGTCGGTAATCTTTAAAAAAAGTGTCACTCCAGATAGGCTTGCTAGACTTGTTGAATGAAGCAGAGATACAGAAGACATATCTCTGCGTAGAGTAATCACAATATCTATTTTATGAAAGATTTTTCTATGATAAAATATTAAACAAATTTTGATTGGCCTTATCTCCATGATGTCATGGTGAATTAAAATTTGGTAACCCATTTACCATACATGTTATTTTTAAAAGATGCACATAAAAATAAACAAAAATAAATGTTACCTACCATGCCATGCATCTCGTATATTATTAATACCAATATTAATATCAAGGATCATGGGACGATCGAAATAAAAATGCCCGATTCGATCGCATTTTCCGAAATTTCCGGAATTATTATTATTATTTATTATTATTATTAGTGTTCCATGTCGCAATCCAAAAAAGGGTCGTAAAGGCAGTTGCATTTTTATATGACTCAAAGATGGTAACAACCATCATCAAAAGTTGCAACCGGTACCCTTAATTATTATTATTATTATTATTATTACTATCACCGTTCACAAAATTTTTCAAGGATTGATCAGTGATGATAATGAATTTCAAAAGCATTAATGAATGAATATAATGCAAACCTTTATAATTATTATTATGAATAACTACTTATTTCCCGCCTCTTATAATAATAAATTAATTGTTGCCTCACAAAATCTTTATTTTAGAAAACGCAAAATTCAGATAAACATAATTTTAAGTCACGTGTAGTTTGAGCAAAGTTCATTTTATGACGAAATTTATTTTATTGGTTCCGGAAGAGATCATTTTGTTATCTCTAGCTAAATCAAGAGGTTCTGATAATAATCTTCTAAATTTTTTAATTTAATTTCTTAAAAACAAAACATCAAATGACAGCACAAAATGGTGCATATAACAATATACAAACAATAAAATAAAAACAAAATAAAGGTCAAGTAATTCACCAATTAATTAGCCTTGAAATAAATAGACCAGAAAAACTAAAATTAAATATTAAATATAAAACAATTGGTTTTTAATCGTTTGTATTAACTTTGTAATTGTAAACAAACAAATGATATTTTATTTAGAACTGCTAATATAAATATTTGAAATCACAATTGCATTATACCATTACTGTATGTGAGACAAATTAAAGTGAGATGGGAAAGATGGGAATTTATAATAAGAGTGATGAGTGATACAACGAACCATTGCTGATCAGAATAGAGATAATATACAATATGCATATAAAAATAGTTATAATAGCATAATTTTATTTTAATAGATATATATGCATGCAATGTAAAATCTTATGCATTATTGATATAATATAATAAGGGATTGCAATCTTCTTGTGTTGATCAATTTAATTATTATTATATATACTTACAACCAGCCTATCAAACAATTATTTCTTATCAAACTTTAAAGTTTGAAGTCAAGTTACACAAACAACCAAAAATTCAGATAGTAATCTTTTCAAACTTTATTTTTTGTTTTTACCTCCATCTTTCAAGTTAACTTATCTCAATTTATTTAATATTAATATTGTTAATATTAATTGACCATTCTCTAGATTCATCATATAGACATTTATTATCGTTATTTGGATAAACAATAATGTCAATTGCATTGTCATAAAGTTCGATTGTTACAAAGATTTCATCCCGAGATTTAAGAAAACCAGCAAATTCTTCATTATCTTGGTGTATATATATAAACTTGATTACACCTGTTACTCTTCTTTAATGAGAGGGGATTCCGATATGTTTTACATAAAATTGCGACATAAAAATAAATAACAAATATTTATTGTTTATTTGGTTGTCTCTCGCGTGTTATTATTATCTATTGAATGAACTTGAATTTAAAAACGGTTAAAAGTTTGATTATATTAGACATTGTTATATTAATAAAAACACAGAAATTAATTAAAAAATGACTTTTTTTGGCATCTTTGATTTTTGTTAATTTTTAATTAAATTTCAGGGGTTTTCCATTTATCAGGGCATTAATTCTAATTCTATCCCATATTGATAAAAAATGATAAGCTTGCATCATATATATGGTCACGTCCTCTAATCTATTTATTTGTTGTTATTATGTAATCTCGAAATGTCAAACAATAAAACCCTGCTTTCTTCTTAATGTCACATTTTCGAAGTTTTTAAGGGCTGAAATTATTTATATTTCCATTTTAAAAAAATATATTTTTAATAATTTACAAATAAAAAATGCACATTTAGAAATGATAAATTCATGCATGCTCTTTTAAAACCATGCACGAAGATAACAAATTTTTATATAAAGTAGTAAAAATCGGTAAAGATAGAACTTTTTTTTTTTATTATAATAATTATAAATTAAAAATTTATTAATTTATTTTTTTGTGATTAATTTTAATCCTTTCCAATAAAACATTATTCCTTCTCATTAAATTCATATATCATCATCACGTTTAATTCTCATTTCCTCCCTCACATCTATCGCCTTTCTTCACGTCTTAATTATTAGAGTTTAAAAAAAATTTAAAAAATTTAGTTTTTTTCTCTTGATTTTTTTTAACAATTTTTAAGTATTTACGATTTTTATTTATTTCAAGCATTTCAAAACATTCTTTAAAAATATAATTTAGAGAATAGAAAAACATATAATAGAAAAAAGAAAGAATAAACCATTGTCGCATTAAAAAACCATAAATAAATATACAATAAATTAATTCATACAATTATAACATTAAAAAATTAACATAAATTACAAAGATGTCTTCACCATCAAAGAATCATCCTCCTTCATCACACTATATTAAGTCAAATAAACATATTACTTTTTCATATTTGTCAGATTTAACTAGTTTCCAAAAAGGAACCTTGGGTGATACCGATACTTATTTGGTTGGGATTTTGCATTTGAATTATAGTAAACCTCAACAAATCAAAAATATCCATTTGAACTTGAGAGGTGCCGAAAAAACTTCTTGGCATAAAGCTCAAGCAAGGTCAAAGGCTTTATATAGCGGAGAACAAGTTTTGGTGGACCAAAACTTTAAAATCTGGGAGTCTCACGAGGATGAAACAAATATCACAAAGTTAGATGTGCAATTCAACATCAAATTGCCATACAATTTACCCGAATCGATTATTACTGAAACAGGTTCGGTTAATTATGTCATCAAGGCAACTATTAACAGAAAAGGTAGCGTCATGTATTCTGCTACGCAATCAGTCGAAATCCACTGTCCTCTAAGACGCACTATAATGCTTGATAATAACAATAATACTCCTCACAAGCTAAGAGGGGAGTCTAGGTGCGGTCTGGATTATACATTTGTTTTGCCTCCAAGTAAAAACTTAAATCTTGGAAGTTATGTCACGATTCCTATGAGAATAAAATTCTTAAAAGCCGGCGTCAGCGTAGAAAGAGTGGAGATCAATTTAAAGAGTTGCATGGATTTCAGGTGTAATAATCCCAACGAAACTCGTCACGTCAAGGAACAAGTTGCTTCTTTGCTTGTTCCACGTCAAGAAATCAAATACACTCAATCTACATCTCAAAATTACGAAGGCGAATGTTTGCATACGATCAATCTATTCATACCACGAACTGTGCAACCGACCTATTCTGGAAGGTTCATCTCCATAACACATCAATTGGTCATTAAGTTTTGTTTATGGGGTGCTGATGATGATTTCCAAATTGAAGAGGGTGTTAGGGTGGCAAATATTCTCGAGAAAACTGGTTATACGGCTCCCGACTTATCAGCTGAGCTGTTGGACGCTTCTCCCTCCCCAACATCCGCTTCTCTCCCAGTTACTGCTGTCCAGTCCTCTTCATCTTCATCTTCATCTTCATCTATATCTATTAAAAATAGTGTTAGCAGTAATGGTAATCAAAATAATCAAAACCAACAATTAATTATTAACCGATCGCTTACATCATCACCATCAATACCACCATCAATGGCTAGTAATAATAATTTACCAAATCATAATAATAACCACAACAACGATCAACCTCAATTGCATCATTCGTCTTCGTATAACAGTATTGACAACTCATCACCCTCCGTTTCTTCATACCCAACACCTGGATATTACGACCACGATGATATTAGTATAATAGATTATCGTGATTTCAATGCTATCGATGATTATAACTATCTTAATCATTTTCCTCCACCTCATCAGATGCACCATATGCATCATCCTATGAACACACCTCCCCACTATTTAAATTATAATAACCTTCAGCAACAACAATTTCCACCACCACAGCACGAAATAGACCCTGATTTACATCAAGAAAGAAAACTTTCTGCAAAAGCTTTAGAATATCAACAACAATTATTATTACAACAACAACAGCCTCATTATAATCAATATTCTCATTTTCAACATTTACAACGTTTGCAATTTTTGCAGCAGCAGCAGCAGCAACAGCAAAAACAACAGCAGCAAAAACAACATCTTCACCACCATTTACAAACTCCACCTCCACAACCAACGGCAGCAACCTCACTTCCTTCTTATGATGATGGGTATGATGAAAAATTTTTCTTAAAAAAGTTAGATGATTTTTTCTTTTACAATCACCTAAATAGTAGTAATAATAGTAGTAATAGTGTTAATGAAAACAATTATTATCCTAATGAAAAAAAAAATTACCCTAATGAAAAAAATAATTATTATTATAATAATGAAAAAAAAATTAATAATAATTATAAAAACGAAAAAAATTTTAATAATAATGAAAGATTCAATGATTATTATAGAAAGCAATATGAATTAGCTTTTCAACATAGATATATTAATAATCAATTTCCTATTACTATGCCCAATTATTATAATAATAGATCCCTCAATAACAACAACAACAATAATTTAAATAATATTGCATCATCTACAACTTCTACTTTGACAGCACAATCATCGTCTGCAACTCTTTCAACTCCACCTGCTGCTACCAACGACTCTACCAGCAATTTGAATAACAATACCTCTTCCTCTGTCACTCCTTCTTCAAACAATAGTGCTTCTGACATAAATAAACTAAAATCATCACCAACAATGAATACGATACCTCCACCAAATCCCTCTGTCTACAACAAAGAAGGAATGGCGCCACCATCCCCATCCTTATCCGCGACTAAATTGCCACCTTACGAAAAATCAAATTCATTGGCTTCAACTACCCCACCTCCAGAGGCACTTATCTCACCTCCACCTTATCGTGGACTTCATCCATCTCATATTCCTCATCATTTTCAAAGTAACTTTGTTGATCCTTACAACTATAATTATGAAGAAAAATTATAGTAACTTGGACGTGATTGAGTGGCTTTAAAGGTGTGGAAGCAATTTAATAGATTGTGTGCTGCTAATAATTAACAGTGAAAGACAACTATTTACCATTATTTGCAACCTATACTCCAAATTTGGGCTATAATTTATTTATTTTGTTTCTTTAATATCATCATGCATATCATATAATCATTTTTCTTTGTATTTAAAAAAAAAAAAAAAGAAAAAAAAATATTTTCATTATTTATTATTATTATCCATTATTTATTTTTTATCCTGGGGGTAAATTAACAAAATTATATTAATGAACAATAATTAATAATTACTCTTTTTATATTGTACATAACATAATTCAAAATTCTCATTAAATTTAATTTGTATTTGTGTATTTATATATTTAGTTTTAAACTTTTCTAAATATTTTAACTTTCCAAGGTGAAGAGGTGTATATAACAACAATCAATAATAATAATAATTAGCATATAAGAGTGTATATATATGTATATATATTTAATTGGTGATAATATGGTATTATATAATATATATAGTATATTATATTATATACAAAAGTATACACACACATGTACACTTCATCATCATCATTAACATTAAAGTCATCACATTACATCAACATCACGTTGAACTTTTAATTAAGCTCTAATTATTCATTAAGCTTAAAATTATGATGAGAATCTGTGATTTCATTATCAACTTTTTTAAATTTTAGTTTTCAATATATATATATATCAATCACATTTTCAAAACAATAATAAAAAATAAACAAATTTTTGAAATTGTTCATACCAAAGATTTTTCACAATATTTTAAATTCTATATATAAAAAAATGTAGGTGAAAATGTTACGCCTTATGCAGTTCAAAATTTTATTAATCAAACCAGGACTGGTGCATTAAGTAAACATGTCTTTTTAAAGTTATTTGCATATAACTTAGTCTCGTCGAGTTTGCATTATTAATGAATTTAGTATTAGGATGAAAACTTTAAATTAGACAAAAAATTCCGTGATTTTTATGAAAACTTTGAGCTTCGTAAAAAAGTTCAAAACTCCGTTGAACATGGATTATGTCATTAAGTAAGTCCACTTAAAATATCTTGAATTATATATGGTTAAAATTTGAGAAAATTTGATAAAGTATAGACAACAAAACGTAAAGCCTTAAAATTTGCATTTTGTCAACTTTATTAAGTGTTTTATATAATAAAATTA